AAGATGGTTCAGCAAGTAAATGTTAGATTTTTGTTTAAATTAAAGGTAAAGAAAAAGAGGAACGCAAGATGAGACATATTAGACATATTAACCAGTTTATTATAGGCCCAGCAGAGTAGAGAGACTAAGAAAGAAGAGGAACATGGCTAATGGCTGATCGCCATGGCCGGTCCCCATAGAGAGGCAAAGAGAAGAGAAGAACAGAAGCAGAGAGAGGAGTAGACAGTATAGAGAGAAGTGTAGAGAGGAAAAAGAGAGTGTAAATGGGCAGGGATCTATCTTTTAAAGGGGTCCTCTGCACCTGCCTGCTGTTTTAGTTCCAATGGAACCCTGGGCTGATCAGGTAACAGGTCCTGTTCCATCAGGTAACAGGAGCAGGCCAGCATAATGACTGAACCTTTCAATCCCACCATTACTTATTATTTTATAAAGGTGGGGTGTTGGACATGGCAGAATAAGGAAATAAGGGTGTTGAATTCTCAAGACTGCTTCCTGCTGACGTGGGGGGCTTTGACCATCTTTGGGTGACCTGAGAAGGTTGGGGTGCTGCCACGTCCTGGGGTAGCCGGTTGTTTTATCACAGTCCAGGCTGTATGGAACTCCCTGGCACCTCTTAGACCTGGCAAGATGTTGGCAGAGCAGAGGACAAGGTTAAGTTTAGAAAATTTTTTTTCTTAGGTCCTGTCACTTGAGGGGAAGATTGTAAGATGAAGGAGGGGTTCCTGAGGAGTCCCAAGATGAGGGAAGGGAGTCCTGGGACCAGGGAAAGATTGAATAACTGGAGTGAATCTGACCTGTTTGTTTGGATCCAATTCATCTCCCTGAAACTTACAAGAATCCTTAGAGTTTGTGGAAACATAAGTATTAGACACATTAGCAGCATATTTTGTTAGAAGCAACTTGGCTGAAAGCATTAACAGTTTAAAATTGACAGATTTTTTTTTTAGGACAATGAAAAGCATCTTAGTCTTGACCTTGTAGTTATGATCCTATAGTGGTATTGTAGAACTTTACTAACTATGAACAGTAGCATGAGAAATAGAGAAATCAGGAACATATTTCATTCTTTTTAATGTCTTAACTCATTTTATCATCACTTAAGCCTTTTTATCCTCAGACCTTCATAACTTTAATTCATACACGTTACAGTAAAGGCACGCCAAGCCTGGCAATCTGTGTTCAATTCCAGGAACCCACATGGTAGGAGAAAACTAACTCTCCAAAGTCCTCTGGTCCCCACATACCTGTTCAATAGCAGGCAGGCACACATGTGCACATGCACACATGTGTGCATACACATATTATTTGATTAAAAAGATGATTCTAAGTCAGTGGGTGGTGGCGCTTTTAATCTGAGCACCCAGGAGGCAGAGACAGGTAGGTCCCTGTGAGTTTGAGGTCAGCCTGGTCTACTGTGCAAGTTCCAAGGCAGCCTCCAAAGCTACAGAGAAACCCACTCTCAAAAACATTAAAAAAAGAAGAAGAAGATGCTTCTAACCATTCTTACAAGCTGAAAATTCTATTAACGCCTATAGGCATCTCCTCTCTGCTCAAAGAAGTCACCAGTCATTCTAGTCAATGTTTTAAGGCTGTGAAGAGACTCCATGACCATGGCAACCCTTATAAAAGAAAGCATTTAACTGGGGATGGTTTACAGTTCAGAGGTTGAGTCCATTATTATTTTGGTGGGAAGCATGGCTACATGCAGGCAGACAGTGCTGGGGAGGTACCTGAGAGTTCTACATTCCCGAACAGCAGGCAGCAGGAAGAGAGAGACCACCAGGCCTGGCTTGAGCATTTGAAACCCCAAAGGCCACCCCCAGTGACACACTTCCTCCACCAAGACTACACCTACCCCAACAAGGCCACACCTCCTAATAGTGCCACTCCCTGGTGAGCAAGAATTCACATCTATGAGCCTATGGGAGCCATTCTTATTCAAAACACTTCAGGAGTCTTCTCAAGGCTTCAGTGGACCCTGCCCTATAGTGGACCCCAAGGCTAGGAGGACATTATTATAACCAGAGTCGCCTCACAGGCACTGTGTTCGGTGGTTGTGGGGGGGGGAGGTGCATTCTGACCATGCCTGGCACTGAAGACAGGCAAACAGTGGTTCATTTCTTCAAAGTCGATTGATTCCTTCAACTTTCTAGAATTTTTCCTTAAAAGTGCAAAGTTGTGAGCTGGCACTTCTTAGTGCTTCTCCTTCACTTCAGCACTGACCTCTAGCTGCCCACACCATCCCCTGACCCGGCTTTCCAGAGAGGCTGAGAGGGTTCACTGATGAGGATACACTGATAACCCCCAGTGATGTCCTGCCAGGCTCTGTCACCCTGCCCTCACCACAGTTCACCGTCAGCACATGCAGCTCTATTAGGGAGGACACCGGCACAAGTCAACTAGGCCCGTGCACAACCTGTGGCAGGTAGGAAAGCTGTGGCTTTTTTGGTGCCTTTCCAGCACGCTCTTGCCACACCCCTGACAAGGCCTTGTCCTTGGACATGGCGGCTCCCAGCTTCCTTTTGTAATCCAGGCTTACTAAAAATGAGTTCAGGGCTTGCTCCCAAATGCCAGGGCACCCAGGCAAGCAGTGAGACAAACCCCTTTTCTAGGTCACTTGGTGACGTGTTCACCTCCTGACACATGCGTAGACTTGGCATCAAGTTCTACCTGGGTATGGTGGAACTCCTACAGCAGAAAAGGGACATGCTATCACCCTGTCACAGAGTCTGTTATAGTACCAGTTATGGGGTGTTTCTGGGAAGGCTACAGAAAACTGCAGGGGTGTGTGTGGCCTGGACAGAGCAGGGACACTGGCCTGGGTGGCTGCTGGGACACTCTGGTGCTGAGACACTCTGCATTCTAGATTCATGAATTCCAACTGGTCCTTCTGCTGGCTCTTGTGTCAGGACCTGCCTGCCTTTTGGGGAACTTCTTTCTTCTCACAGATGCATCTCAACAGCCTCTCCTAAGGAATCCCTCTGTGTTTGTTACTTTTCTCATCACACTGATGGAAGCAACTTAGGAGAAGAGGCGTGGTTTCCACACCTAGTTTCAGGTGGTTTAGTCCATCCTGACAGGACAGGCGTGGTGATGGAAACTGCTCAGTCAAGCGGTAGGAGCAGGAAGCAAAGAAGCCAGGAGTTGGAGAACAGAACCTCAGGACGCCAGGCTCTATGACCTATGTCTGTCCCCTATACCCCATGTCCCCAAAGTTCCAGAATCTCCCAAAACAGTGCCACCTGCTGGGGATCAACTGTTCAAACGTGGGAGTCTGGGGAGGGGGGAGGCTCCTCCCCCCTCCCCAGATCTAAATCATACACCCTTCCTGACCTCTGCCTACTGGACACTTTCCTAAGGTGCCCTTCCAGGACCCCATGAAGGCAGACATATAGTGGCCCAACCCAGCCAAAAGGGAGAACAAAAATGTTGATCTTTGTGACTGCCCAGAGGTAAGCTGGATCCACCCTGGCTGCCACATTCTGTCCTGACTTCCCTGACCATCTTCTCCTGGCTCCCAAACACATAGCACTCAGTGTACACTCTGAATCTGATTTGGAAACAAAGACATTTCTTCATAAGGCTGAGTGCCCAATGTTTGTTCTTCTTATTGGAATCCTGGTGAGCCAAGGGGTGCTTGCTGTTAGTGCGCTTATTAAAAAGAAATGCATGGAAGGAGTAATTGCCTGTTCTATGGTGAGAAATTACTGTCTCTGTTTTATTTAGGCTGTATAGGAAACAAGAAACAGCACATAATTTAGTGATTAAAACTTTGCAGCTCTCGTTTCATGTAATTGCATGCTTTTATTCAGTTAGGCTATTACTTTGATTAAAAAATTCGTTCTGACACCTTTCAGGGTCCTGAGCAGTAGAAGGGTCCCATGTAGGGAGGACCATGTTTTCCAGGAAAGCTGAGAGTGATGCCCTTGTCTTTACCCCAGGAATTGTGGGTGGGAGCTGCTAAGGGACTGGTGGAGGAGGGATGCTGGATTTGGTCAGCCACAGTTAACAAGAGAGGAAATTGGGGCAACTTCTGCCCATTATCCAAATCCTCAGTGAATGGAGACTAATGAAGAGCATGCCCACGGAGGGGCATGTGATCAGAGATCAAGCTCTGTGATCAGAGGCTTGTCCTAGGCTGGCCCTGGGCCATCAGCTGCCCTTAACCTGGAGTGTGAACAGTGGTCAGCAACCATCTTTTATGGTGCCAGCCTGGGCTGTTCCATTTGTGGTCCATGATTCTTGCTGTGGCAGAAGGTCCTGGAATTACCACCTTACCCCATACACTGGGCCCGAGATTCCATGCAGTCCCTCCCAGCCTCTTCAAATAGGGTGAAACTCTGTGGGGTCCCACCGCTCAGGAAAAGCATAGCCTCATTTCTCATAGTCCGTCATCTCCAAAGCTAGGGCGGGCTGTTCTCTCCTCAGGAGAGGAGGTAGTGCAGACAAGGAGAAGTGCCAGGACTCTGAAACAGCAAGCCTCTGATTGTTCATTTTCTATTTTGTGAATTTGTGTATACAAAATTCATTCAAATTACTGAATTTCACCAAATATGACAATAAATACCAGCTGGGCATGGTGGCACACATCTTTAGTCCCAGCATTTAGGAGGCAGAGGCAGGCAGATCTCTGAGTTTGAGGCTAGCCTGCTCTACAGACTCAGTTCCAGGACAGCCATGGCTGTTGCACAGAGAAACCCTGTATCAAAAAACAAGAAGGAGGAGGAAGTAAAGGACGAGATGATGATGATGAAGATAAATACCTCAAGACTGGAGATAATTTAAAGTCCAATGAACTTTGTCCCCCTGTGTTCTATGAGGTCCCCTTCCCCCACATCTGTCACTGGAAGTCATGGAAGCATGTAGCCGAAGATGTCTCCGTGTCCTTTCTGATCACCCAGCCTTTCTGTCCTATCTACATGAAATCAACTGATGGGGGAAGTACTTCTGTGTATGTTTATCTTATTGATTGTTTAATAAAATTCTGTTTGGCCGGGGTCTTCTGGGAAGTCATGGCGTCACTCAACAGTAAAACTGTGGTCTGCGTGATCTGTTTGGAGAAGCCCAAATACCGCTGCCCAGCTTGCCGCGTGCCCTACTGCACTGTCACTTGTTTCCAGAAGCACAAAGAGCAGTGCAACCCGGAAACCCGTCCTGTTGAGAACAGAACAGTGGCTCCGGTGAATATAGGGTCTGAGGAAAACAAAGATGATGACTCCTCTATAGCTGACTTCCTCAATAGTGACGAGGAAGAAGACAGAGTGTCTCTGCAGAATTTAAAGTTTAAGTGAGTCTGCAACTTTAAGAAGTTTATTGCTCAACCTGAGACAGCTGATGGTTAACCTTGATCAGGGTGACAGCCAAGCAAAGCTGATGAAAGCCTGCATGCAGGAGCCTTTGTTTGTGGAGTTTGCAGACTGCTGTTTAAGAATCGTGGAACCATCCCAGAAAAGGGATTCTTGAAACTGAATGTGCTCCCTGCTCAAGCTGCCCACTGCTCCTCCTAGGAGGAGGTTGTTTGCAAGGCTGCTCGACAACATGTAGGTCTTCTTCATCACTCGGCTTGCTTCAGACAAGTGGAGGATACTCAAGGTGCAGAGCCTGTATGAAGAAGAAACCTGGAGTGATGGCTCAGCTCTTCCAAAGGACCGATCTTCAGCACCCACATGACTGCCAACAATTGTAATTACAGTTCCAGGGGATCTGACACCCTTTTCTGGCCTCTGAAGGTACTGTAAGCATGTGGTCCACAGCTATAAGCAAAAGTCACATATTAAAAAAATAAAAAAAGGAAAAGGCTATTTATTTATATTTACATGGTGGTTTTAAATTTATTTCCAGTGCAGTTTAGAGTTACATCATAAATAACCAAGTTTATCCATTTGAATTAAAATCTGATACTGTTACTAAATAAATTTAAGATATTGTTCTTGGTTACATTAAATAAATCAGTTTATAAAAAAAAATTCTGTTTGGCCAATGAAACAGCAAGTTAGACAGGACTAGGAGTCAAAGAGGATTCTGGGAAATGTAGTCGAAAGTGGTGATCCAGGCAGGAAGTGACATAGCAAGGAGACTCATACTTGAGCAAGGAGAAATAGGAAGTGTCCCTTTTTTCCCTTCGCCTCCTCCAGTGGCGGGATGTGATCCACCGGCAAGGAGGGACGTCAATAAGGCATTCGATAAGATAAGTCTTATAAAATATATAGGTTTATGATAGTTAAGACTGAGCTAACAGATGAGGAATCCTAGTCATTGGCCAAGCAGCTTTGAACCTAATACAAGTCTCTCTGTGTATTCATTTGGGCCCTACCTCAGGCGGGCGGCTGGTGTAAAGCACTCACGTGGCGGTGGGGCTCAGCGGCTTTTGGCAGAAAGATTTATCATAACAATCAACCTCCAGTAAAGTCATTGCAGCTGAAGACTAGAAATGTGTTTTCAAGTCCCACATTGAGAAATCACTGCTCTGATTGCCCACCTGGCCTTACCTGGCCCCAGGAAACAGCCTGTGACTGAAGAGACAGATTGAAGAGCCACCACCAGGTCATCAGTTCACTAGCCACAGTCCCATTCAGGACACATGAGAAAGTCAGGGTTACATTTGCTGTTGTCAAAAGGCTGCTGGCTGGCTGGCTGGCTGGTGAGCCAAAGTCTCTTCCCTGCAGATCCATCTGGGTTGAATGAAGCCAATTAATATCCTGGTGAGGCTCAAAAGCTTCAGTAAATGGAGTGAGTCTGACACAGAACTGCAGATTTCTAGACTGTTGTCTCTGGCCTAAGACACTGATCCAGAACCTGGGAGAACTTCCCACTGAGACTCCAACTTCAGCCCCCACAGCCTGCCTCTCATTCTTTTCATTTGCCCTCTGTTCTTCTCAACATGGAGGCTCACAACCAAGGCTTATTTGGCTTTCCTTCTGTCCAATGGAGTTACGTTCTGAATATATTCTAAGGAAGATTTATACATTTAAAGGAACTCACTGTCCCTTCATCCTATGGATGATGTTTCTCAGTTTAGGGTTAAAATTGAACCAGGATTCCAAAGTGTTTACACATGGCTGAGTTCTCTTGGGTCAGGGCATGGGTACCCTGTGCTCTGGCAGTGCTGGCTTTATTCCTCATGTTGGTTCAGGCCCATAAGTTGCATGAAGTGAGCATTTTCCTACAGGGTTCTACTTTTCCACTGCCAGTGTCATTTCAGACATCATTTTCTGGAAAGCACTGTGGTCCCAGGACCTCATGGCATCACATGTCTTAAGCCAGACAATAATTACAAAGTAGACAGCTTGGCACACCTGTGTGTACAGGTAAGTGTGCATTCTCTGTCCTCTGGGCACACCTGTGTGTGCATACATAATCTGTTCTGGTTAGTTTTATGTCAACTTGATACAAACTAGAGTCAATTGGGAAAAGGGACTCTCAATGGAGAAAATGCCTCCATAGATTGACCTATAGGCAAGTCTGCTGAGCATTTTAATGATTGATGAGCAGAGTCCTGCCCACTCTGGGCAGTGCCACCCCTGGAAAGGTGGCCCTGGCTTGTATAAGAAAGCAGGATAAATGGAACAGGAAGAACAAGCCAAGAAACAGTGTTTCTCCATGGCTTCTGCTTCAGTTCCTGCTTCCAGGTTCCTACAGTGAGTTCCTGCCTGACTTCCTTCAGTGATGAACTGTGGTGTGGAAGTATAAAGTGAAATAAAACCTATCCTCCTCAAGTAGCTTTTGGTCATGGTGTATCATCTCAATAGAAATTGTCCGAAGTGAGGACCCACAAAAGTATGATAACCAGTTGATTAAGGGGTGCAATGAAAAGATAAACTCATAGATACAGAGCAAAGCAGATGTTGCTGCTGATCACGTATCAACTCTCTGCTGCTTGGTCTCCAACCATGCCAAGCGTGAGCCAGAGCAAGAAAGCAAGAGTGTGCTTCCCCTCCAGTTTATCAGCTGTCATGTGGCAGACAAGACCATGCCCTAGAGCTTGCTGCCCCAAGATTATTGGTGGATTGAGTTTCACAACTGTCAGAGTTATTTTTCTGTAGCCAGTGCCCTGACAAAAACCATGACAGAGGCAATGTATTGAAGTTGGTTAGGTCTTATAGTTTCAGGGGATGAGTCAAAGACCATGACCATCAGGTTGGGGAATATAGCAGCAGACAGGCAGGCATGGTGTTGGAGCTGTGTGGCTCAGCGTTTACATCTGATCCCCAACCAGGAGGCAGGGGAAGAGCTAACTGGAAATGGTATAGGCTTTTGAAAACTTAACGCCCACCCCCAGTGACATACCTATTCCAACAAGGCTATACCTTCTAATCCTTCCCAAACAGTTCTACCAAGTGAGAATCAAGTATTCAAACATATGATCCTATGGGCCCATTCTCATTCAAACCACCACAAAAAACCCTAAGACACAGCCATAAATAATGCACTCACATGTACATAGCACAGATGTGTACGCCACACAGATACATAAGCACAAGTGACTCACTCACTCACACACAGATGTGCAAGCAATGTCCCACACACTCACAGATGAACAATGTGCACAGTAGACATCTTTACACACAGGCCTATGCACACCCCCTATGAACAACTACATCCTCCCCCAGTCCCTCCTCAACTTTTGTCCATACTAATCTGTTCTCACTTTAAGAACGTCATGTATAACCTCTTGGAATTGTTAGTCTTCAGTCATTATAGCTTTGCAGGTAATTAGGCCTCCCTGTGTCAGTTATTTCTCATCTACTCATTCCTGCTATCAGCTAGCCTTATGGATGTGGATGAACTCAGCCTGCTTAACACTTACTTGATAAAGAATGTTCAGGTCAGATAGATACTTGTGGCTAAAACATAGTTAGGGGATGCATGCTTCCAGATTCATCACTTTTGGGGTTTGTTTTGTGACCATTTGGTGTAACCAGGACCATCTATGTGACCATTAGATTGGCACCATCCCTTGGAGCCTCGATGCTTTTCTTATTTTTTTTCTAGTCTCTTGAAGTGGGTGCATAGATTATTGATCAAGACGTTTCCTCTTTTCTGATGTAAGTATCTCAGCACCAAAATTTACTACTTGCCCTGTTTTAACTGCATTCACAATCAAAAGATTTTGCTAAGTTGCGTTTTCATTTTCATTCCACTCCTTGTGTTTTACATTATTTTTCCTGAGGCTTCTTCTTTAACTCATGCTTACTTACAAGTGTATTATTTGGGTTTTATGTTTATATTCCTTGTACTTTCACCTATTATCTCCCCATTATTGATTTTTAATTTGATTCCACTGTAGCTGAATAATATACAGAATACATATAAAGAAAAACCACATACACACACAGTGTAGGGTTTGTCTTTATAGCTGACCTGCCCTACTCTCTGCTCTATTCAGACTCCTGTTTTCTTTAGAGGAGCGAAAGTATCCTCCATCATTGCAGGAGCAGAGTTCTCTCTGGCCCATTTTTAATGTCTCTGTAGCCTAATGCCAGTCCTTATAAGTGATGCCTTGATTCCCAACCCTCCCCACTTTCCCAGCTCTTGGACAAAACTCTAGTTTTGCTTTCACTGATGAAGGCTTCTGTATGTGAACTTAGGATTTCATCTGGGGTGAAAGGAAAGGATTCCTTGTCACCCATCCTGAATAGTAGACAGGGACGCCCTGAGTGGTTCTTTGGAGGTCTTTAGTGGAGATTTGGGGGGCTATACTGGTTAAATCTTGAGCTATCCTGAAACATATCAGGATATGGGCCCAGAGCCACCTTAGGAGTGGGCTGCTCACAGGCGTCCTAGACAGACCAGGGACTCCTGGAACTCACCCACCTCTACTTTTTAAAGCGTTTTTTACTTCTTTCACCTTGTCTAGTCATGTCCCTGGGTGAGCAATAGAGGTTGAGGGGCACATATATGAAGACCAGGGGCAGAGGCAGCCTGTGTGGACAGGGGCAGCTCAGTCTCTCCAATGCAGCCAGTCCTGAGTCTCACTTGGCCTAGCTCAGTCTTGCCAGACATCTGCTAGCTGCCTGCTCTGGATTCCTGCCAAACTGCCTGTGTCTTCCCTGCTCGTTTCTCTGTTGACCTGCATCTGGAAAGCTGATGTGTTTTCCTTCCAATACCCCACTACTCAGCTCCATGAGGCATTTGTCTTCAAAAATGTGCTCTGCCTACTGGCTTGGCTGGGGTGGGGAAGAGCTGCATTTTGTGTTGGAAACCCCATACTGACTCTTAGCTGTGATGTTCTTGACATTTCCTGAGAGACTACTTGCAGTATAGTTCTGTAGAAAGCAGAAATTATGAGGTTTTTTGTTTGTTTTGTTTTGTTTTCATTGTGGGGACACTGTTGCTCACATAGAAACATCTTCAAGCTGGCCCAGTCACAAGTGGACCTAGGATGAATGTGTTGTGCCCAGTGAGTATTGGGCCAGCTTGAGCTTTCTCTCACTTTTTAGATGCCAGCTTCATGATGCTGTTTG